AGTCCTCAATCATAACCTGATCAAGATTTGTTCCACTATCTCAATGAAGAAGTTTTACAAGCATACCACACATGCATATACTCCTACATTCAAGATAACCACTTTCTTGCCCCCAAGAAAGCACTTCTTGTAGAAACCCACTACAAGAATTCCTTACCACTTGAGACACCTACTCAAGATTTCCCTTACACTTTACACAGAATTAAAGGAACGAATTCACCTGGAAGTTGAACAAATCAAACTATGAATTCCAAAAAAATCTTAATCTTCCTCTCCCAAGAATGTAGTGATGATGATGATCTTTTTCAAAGCATTTCACAAAATGTTTTTCTTCTTGGTTTCACAAAGAAAACACTCCAAGAAGGTCACAAAGACTTCACAATATCAATTTTTCTCTTTTTGATTCTCAGTTTATCTCACTTTTGAAGTTTCAAAGTGTGAAAGCTATTTATAAAGTTTTCAGATCCAGATAATCGATTATTTTAAAGGATAATCATATATTTTGTTCTTCATGATTTCTGGAAACCACTCAATAACAGAACAATCGATTATTTTGCAAGATAATCGAATATTCTAGAGAGTACTTCCTGGAATAATCGATTATTTCACAGATAATGGATTATTACAGCAAGACTCTTTTTACATGTTGCTGGAATAATCGATTACACTTAATGATAGATTGAATTAAATTAAAAATTAGTTCAAGAAAACAAAATTGAAACTTTTTTTAATTGATTAAACTGAATTACACTCCAAAAGTTTCAACTAAATTGCAATTTAATTTGAACTTAACTAATTTAATGCTCTAAACTAAATTATTTTGATATTTTAATTTAAATTATTTTATCTTGTTAATTCGTTGAGGCAAGTCAACTTGACCTATTTATTTATTTATTTATTTATATTAAAATTTAGTAAATAAAAAAAATCACCAAACCAAATAGATCAGATATTCAAGTTAGGAAACTAATAACCCAACCTAGTTTGATTGGCCCACCAAGCCTAACCAATTTGATCCAATTTTTTTCATATCACTTTTTCGAAACTCAACTCATATCCGGAAAATCCATTGAGACACTTCTTATTTTTATTCTTTTATAAAAATAATTTAATTTTTTTAGTTGAGTTTAATTTTTAAATAGTCCATTCAATTCAATATTCCATAGAAACAATTCGATTTAATATTTTATAAGAACAATTCAGTTTTTATAGTTCAACTCAGTGCAGTTCACCAATTCAATCTAGTAATTAATATCTTACCAATATACCTTACCATACATGTATAAACTAGCATAAACAACTAGAATTAATAGCCAAATTCTTAACTTAGAGAACCCTATTTACATAGTTTGACACATTCACAATTCAGGACTTTACATTCAACAACAGAAAGAAGGGAAGGACATAAGATAAGATATTTATCATGTAGAAGCCTATGGCCCTTCCTTTAGCTACAGACATTGCATGAATGTGCTCAAACTGCTTCATAAGTGTTCTCCACTTGGGATAACAATATTTGGGGATTGTTGGTCTTTGTTATTCACAATTCATTGTGTTAATAGACAAAGCCAAACAATTGTACATTCATATAGACAAAAATAGAATTCTTTGTTTATGTTGTTTTTCCATTAGTACTGCAGATTTATCTCGGTAATCTGCAAAGTAAATGCTTACATTAAATAAAATGGTGCAGATTACTAAGACGGGACTACAATTCTAATTACACAACACAAAAAACATATAAGTAATTGACTATATACAAGTTTTGTCCACATTTATATATCTTTATAACTGTTATTTCATCCTTAATTAGGATACCTCAGTTATAGGTATAACTGTTATTCTTCTAATTAAGATAAAGAGGATTGTTTCCTGTTAACACACTCTTCTTAATTCATTTATTTTTATCGGTTAAAAATTTAAAATTTATTCGAAACTAAAAGTTAGAAGAAAGGGTTATTAAATAAAGTGTGAGACTCATCATATTTTTGTATTTTTTAATAAATTTTAACTATTTAAAAAATGTGTGTTAAATGAGCATATCAAAAAGTGTGTCACTAACATTTATTATGGCAGTTAGCTAATTTATTGACTGAAAACAAGCTAATCAGTTTGTACTTAAATTTTATTTATATTAGAATTCTCAACTGGATATCACAGTTATTGGCATACACTTTTCTGAATTCAACAGAAGGGAGTCAGAAATTTTTTGATGGCACGTTAGTTGACAGAAAAACCTTTTGACACAATAGGTTGCTCCCTTGAGTTTTATGATTAATGAAACTTTATATCTTTTACCTTCCTCAAATTGGTAATATAGTATACCAATGAAATTTCCAACTCATTGTCTTCAAATCCAATTAAATCATTCTTAAATTTATACACCAAAAAATGGCCTGGTATTAGCCAGAGGATGTGTCATGCTTGTTTGTGTAATTTACAGTTTTGTCTCAAATTAGGTTACTAGCATAACTACATACAGGGAACTAGTTTAAATTTGAAAACATTACTAGAAACCATTAACCAATGTCCTACTCCAAGGTGTTTGATGAACATTGAGGGACAATAAAAGCAAAATAACACATACAATTAGTGATGTGATAGCAAGGTTCGAGACTTGATTGACAAAAATAGTACCTCCATTCTTTTATTAAGAAACAGATAGATATTTTTTTTTCTCTCTATTATAAGAAATATGGCCTACTTTAAGATATCTTGTTTGAAGATATATTGTATGAAGATATATTAGTTGTTAATTTCTTTTTATATCTTTCATCTGTGATGAAATTCATTAGTGAAACACTTATTCATCTCTCTTATATGTGAATATATATATTTATCATTGTTTATTAACAACTCACGTTACACTTTTTAAGGGCATTTTTAAAATAAAACTTAAATTTACAACATTATTAATTAACTTAACTGCTTTGTGTTCAATAAATAAAAATTAACTTAAATTTCATTAATCTTAAAAAGAATATTCATTTGTTTCTTATATAAAATATCCAAAGAAATAAAATATTAAAAATATAATCCATAATGTTCTTGGAAAAATTATAGTTTTACATATTAAATCATGATAATAAAAAATTATGCAATAAAATAAAATCTTAATTAAATTGAAAATAAAATTTTAAAAGTTCAAAAAAAATAATAATAATTACATAAGTGTTTTAACATTAGAATCAATCCACACATAATTCCCTAAAAAATTAGGATAAAAAAATACAAACAAAACAACAAAAATTCATCCCACATTGTGAAGGTCAGATCCATTCATCAATTGAAATCATTCGACTTGATTGAAGACCAAACTTAACAAAAATAAATTAATTAAAGTATTTATACAACTCAACAAATATATCAATGATTTACAATCCTTTAAAAGAAAATGACATAAAATATTTATAATTTGATATAATTTTTCTTTTTCAGAATTTTTTTATAAGTTTTAAAAATAATATTTTTTTATACTTTGACACGAGGTTGTAATGTAATAATAAATTAAAAATAAGTTATTCAAAATGGAATTTGGTATATAAGGTTAAAAGTTGTTAACATTATTAATTTTTTTAACATTCATGGTAGGATTAATAAGTGTTAAAACAAAAGGTTAAAAAAATACATATCTAATAATGTGTAAAATTTGTTTACCTAGTTAAATGATAGAGAAAAAAATCATTAGAATCAACATAGTGACGAAAAGTTGAAATAATATACACATCATCCTAAGTTCAAACCATGTTATTGTTACTATAATTTCTATTGAAAAAAAAGACATGATAGAAAAAAATTTAAAAAATAAACTTGTATTAATTATCAAAAACTTGCATCCTAACTCTTGAAAACTTAAGAGAACCAAAATTGAACAATTAAAAATTAGGATATAAAATTTTTTCAAGCACTATATTATGAGAACCATAAGTGTGATAATACCTACATTAATGTTGCTTTCCTTGTCTATACAAGAAATCAATTCTTATATATTAAATATGAACAACTATCTTATGAGAGAATGTTTTTTTAAAAAAATTCAATAAAAAGATTTATAAAGATTTTTTAACTTCTTATCTAATTCGTTTTTTAATATAATTTATATATTTAACTATGATATTTATTTATATATTTTATTATATAATAAATATTTAGCCTGTACAGGCTAAAATACTAGTACCAATTATCTCTAAGAATAAAATTAATGTTATCAATTACAAGATTGGAAAAACAAGGAAAAGGAAAACAATGTACAACATACAGGTAACGAAATGACAATTTTTTGCACTTGTATTAAAACATTGGTATACAACAACTTTGCAAAGTGTAGTATTAGATTATTATGCTAACAAAAGAGAAAAGAAAATCTACAGTATATAGAACCAGCCTTGTATAGTATGATAGTAAGAATGCCAATATACCACTGTTGAACTCATTTAGATGGCTTATGGCCCTGTGTTTTGGTTTGGCTAGCTGCTGCAGACATTATGCGCAAACGACTGGCAATTTCTGTGAATGATGGTCTGGCTGCAGGATTGGGTGCCCAACATTGTTCCATTAGTGTTCTCCATTCAGGATCACAGTTACTTGGTATGGTTGGCCTTAATGTGTTATTTACAATCCCACCTGCAAGGGGAAACACATTAATCGTCAATTCTACACAAATTATAGCCTCTTGTCAATGGAATTGATTACAAGTGTCATGAATGTGTAACTTTAAAAAGGATTCGGAGGTCTGTGATTTGTTTATATACATGATTCACAACAATGATGTAGCCAACCCTACTTAGGACATATTTGAATGAACCTCTCAGAGAAAAATAAGATGAAAAATTAAAATAAATTTCTCCATAAGGTAATACCAGTTGTTAAAGATTTCAGAAAAGTTAATATAAGAAAGTTTCTATAAATTAACTTCTCCAAATTTTAACCGTGCATAAGTTAATTTCAGGTTATGAAGAAATCTATCTTATTTTTCCTTCCTATTTTTCTTTCTTGGAAGTACAAAGGAAATTTACTCAAATCGTCCCTCAGTAAGATTTGGTTGTTATGTTGTTGCTGTTACATAAAGTAGTGGTGCATAGGGGGAACTTGGAAAATAAGGGTCCAACATAGTGGATGATATATAATTAGGAGACAAATAGGCTGAGTCTGTCGTATGAGTTAACCATGTAGTCTGAATTTTTTTTTCCATCAGTTAATCGTTACTGTTACTTATCAGTTGATTCCAACAAAAGATTTATCTTTTCACAGTTTTTAAGTATGTTTTCAGCAATTTGAATAGTTTTAGTTTAGGCATTATATTTTTATTCCGTTCAAAAGATCTATATAACATGAAAAAACTAACACATCTTGTGATACATAAAAATCCTGCGCAAAATGTTAATTCCTTTGCAGCTTACACAATTGGATTCTTTAATCATAATTTCATATGACATCAGGAGAGCTGGAGCTGGAAATGCTTTTTAGAGCAAGGAGTGAAAATAAAACTGAAAACAAGAAAACTTTATTCCATTATTGTCAAAACGTGTTTCAAACTGTGATATTGCACAATTTTGAAATCTTTCTGTGAGCTCTCCATCCAAAACACAAGAAAAATCAGTTTATAGTGGCATTTGTGAGTTGGAGTCTGGAATCATGAGCTCAAAGCACCTTACAAAATTCTACCAGTTTAAATTTAGTTTAATGATGTGATTAAGAGGTTAAGTGTATAATCTTGCATTTTTAGTTGGATCTTCTCATTCCATGTATGTTACGGTCCTACTATTTAGGATCTTTTACAACCCCCTTCCCAATCCTACTTAAAATATCAATTTTGACAACATTGCTTTACTATTATCCAATGTCTGTTACTTCGACGCAAAGTGTCTACACTCTACATTTCAAGAGGACACAGATACTAACGTTCAGGTCCACCACAGTAAAGGTAAAAGAAAAGCATAGGATATTACCTATAATTGCACCATAGTGCATATTGGCATATGGCTCCTCACCAGTCAGGATTTCCCATAATACTATTCCAAAGGAGAACACATCAACCTACAAAGAAAAGGGAGACAAGGGTGACAAACTAAAATAGGTTTCAAGACTTTCATCCCAGTTATGATTGAGAGGTAAATTTGAAATATCCCACATTGTAACCTAATTCTCCCCAGGCCCAGAACAGATATGAACAAAAGATTTTCAAAATCAGTAAAAATAAATCTAAAAATAGAATTAGAATGTTCAAATTTAAAATGGTCAAACAAACATAATTACATAGGAATTTCCTAAAGACCAGAATACTGTGAACTGGTAAAGAGAGTTTTGTTGTCATGTTAGAAGAAGGAAATTTACATCCAGAAAAGAAATTAATACAACTCATTTCCTTAGTTAAATTTCGATTCCGAGCCATGTGATTAGAGAAAAGCATTTCATAAGAGAAAGCTTGAAATATTACCTTTTCAGAGACCTTGTTGCTGCTGCCATTTAGCAGCTCTGGTGCCATCCAAGGCAGAGTCCCCCTCACACCACCAGTAACTAAGGTATTTCGTTTAATTTTGGATAAACCAAAATCGCCAACCTGGGAAGGAAAATTTCTTAGTCAAAATGTACAATGTTTTAACACATGCACAAAAGTGTGATATTTCATATTTCATGCTGGTAGAAAAATACTACCAGACCTGGTCAACATACCTTGCATATTGGACGTAAAGGATCTTTCAAGTTTACAAGCAAATTGTCACATTTTAAGTCGAAATGCACAATGTTTTTTGAGTGCAAATATTCCATTCCAAAAGCTGCATCCATTGCAATTATCAGCCTCTTGCGACGATCAAGATACCTAGATAAAAAAAATCATGCCAAGATTCTTATACCAGAAAAAAAAAAAAAAAAAAAAAAAAAAAGGAAAAAAAAAATCTCAATTAAAAAAATTTTCTGGAAAAATACTACCAGACCTGGTCAACATACCTTGCATATTGGACGTAAAGGATCTTTCAAGTTTACAAGCAAATTGTCACATTTTAAGTCGAAATGCACAATGTTTTTTGAGTGCAAATATTCCATTCCAAAAGCTGCATCCATTGCAATTATCAGCCTCTTGCGACGATCAAGATACCTAGATAAAAAAAATCATGCCAAGATTCTTATACCAGAAAAAAAAAAAAAAAAAAAAAAAACTGGACATGAAATTCGTCACTTGAAGAATCTTGCTGACACAATATACTTTAGTGGTGCCTATAAATTATGATTATACCAAATCATGAAAGTTATCCAAAAATATTTCCATGCATTCCATCAAATTTGGGGCAGTAGTAACCCTTGATCTTATGCATTATAATAGAAATGCTAAACCTATTTTCAAATGCATTACCTATCCTTGCGAAGTAATACATGCCTAAGAGAACCATCCACCATGTATTCTGCCACAGTGGCCATTGTTCCTCCTGGTCCATGTTGTACCACACCATAAAATGCAACAACATTTGGGTGATGAAGCTTGGAAAGAATGTCAGCTTCCCGCCAGAACTCTACCGTCTGAGAAAAGAAGAAAAAATAGCATCTCACCTCAAAATATATCCTTATCATTAAATCACTTTCAAACAATCATGAAAGAAAGAAGCTATTTCTTATTTCATTTTAATGAAAACAAAAAATAGTGCATGCTATCCAACAGCCATTAAATAACAAGTTACCAGTCTCTCTTGCTCAGATGATCGACCAGTGAAGCAGCTCTTCTTTATTCTTTTTATAGCAACATCTGTTCCTCTCCATTTTCCATGATACACAGTCCCAAAGGTACCAGAACCTAGTTCTCGCAACTCTTCAAGATCTTCATTCTTAATGACCTACAAATTGCATCAAAAACAATGAAATAAATGTGATGAAGTAAAGATTTTCAGGTCAGCACTCAAACACTATATATTGTACACATTTAAAATTAGAGAATTATAAAAAGAAAAATACATAAAACAGCTGAATGACCAAATAAGCATAAACTTTATAAGATCAAAGGAGAGAAAGACAGTCTAAAACATCATAACATGACCAAGAGCTTGATTAACTTGTCTATAGTTGAATATTACGTATTTAGTGTGAAAAGTGCTTCATAGAGAACCCTATCAGCAGATCCATATATATATAGAGAGAGAGAGAGTGAGAGAGAGAGAGAGACTGAACAGGTTTTACAAAGCGAGAGAAAAAGGTCTACAGCCTAGGACATCTATGTTAGATAGATACAACAAAGAAACAGCTTCATAAAAGTTGTACAACAGATAACAGAGAAGCTTTTCTGAAACTCCCCCTCAAGCTGGTGCATATAAGTTGTAAGCACCAAACTTGGAACATATAAACTGAATATAACATCCTCTAAAAGACTAAGTCAAAATATCTGCAGGTTAATCATTTCAGCTGATAAACTTGTACTGATTTTCTTGGACAACAGTTTCTCTACAACAAAATGACAATCAATTTCTCTATGTTTGGTTCTCTTATGAAACACTGGATTAGAGGCAATGGGAAGAGCTGCCTGATTATCATAATATAACTTATCTGTTGAATTTCACAGAACTTTAGTTCTTGGAGGAATTGGTTGATCCAACAAATTTCACAAGCCATAGCCCTATATTCCACTTTTGCACTAGATCGGGCAATTACATTTTCTTTCTTGCTCTTCCAAGATATAATATTTCCTCTAATGGATACACAATATCCACTAATAGAGCAGCTGTCTATAGGAGATCCTGGCCCAATCCATATCAGAATAACCAGAAATTCGGGTATCTCCCTTATCCTCATATAATAGTCCCTGTCATGGAGCCTTTTTAATGTATCTAAGAATGTGAATCACATCATTCTAGTGATCAATATGAGGAGCCTGCATGAATTGACTAACAACTGACTGAGAAAGAGATACAAGATCTTGTAATGGTGAGGTGAATAAGTTTCCCCACTAGGCTTCTATATTTCTCCACATCCAAGTAAGGTTCACCTTGAAATGGTTCTGGTTCTTGATCTGCATACCCTCCTTTTGGCTTCTTTGCACCAAAGAATCTTCATCTATAAGATGTGCCAAGTTCATCCATTCAAACAAATAACTATCTTCAAAGTTCAAACAAGGACACAGCAACTGCATATACATTAAGTACCACTCTCACCTTTTCATCTTTATCTATGATAAAAAAAAAGTGGTCCTGCCAAAGACTCATATTGATGTCTTTCTGTATTCTTGCACCAAGTCAGTTTGCAATAGCACCAAAAGAATTTCATGTGACTTAGGCAGTGCAAGATTTCCACCATTGGAACCAACTCAATGTTTGTCCCTCCATAGCCATTGCCACCACCTGCATTCTTTCTTCTTTGTCTACCTCTTCAATCTAAAAATAACTTTCGATTCTGACATCCATAGGCATCCTCACCCAAGAACAAAGGGACTTTCCTTCACGCAACCAGCTAATCCAATCTTGAGACCATTTTGGCATGTACCATGAATTGCTCCCGGATCATGGGAGCTCTAATACCAGTTGATAGAACTGACATAAAAAATAGATGAAGAAAAGTGACAAAAAAGTGTATTATTCTCTTGTACAACTCTCTTCAAACAGCGCCAAAGATGAATTACTATAGTACTCTTGGTATTCAATAGAACCTGACCTCTCCCCACTCTCCAAGAGTCCAATGCTTTCAAAAACTATAAGATACTCTATCTCCACCCTCTTTCTTATTTATGGGAAACATGCCTTATTCAACCGATATATGCCAAATAACCAACTAACTCAAAACATACTCATGATAAGAAACCAATTACTACCTATCCAATAAGAGAACAGAAAGCCAAGGTCCTAAGTGTTAAACCAGAAAGGAATTTTGAACAAACATTCTTTGAAACCTGGGTGAGACTAAAAACGATAAATATTGAAAGATTCTAATTGATGTTATGGAAACCTCTACAGCCACAGTAAGCATTAAATGAAAACGAGAATTGGAAATAGATTAACATGAGTGACGTGTCCAAGTATAGAATGTAAGGATCCAGATCCAATCAACTATAACTACCAATAAACACTTCTGAACTCCAAAGAATTCAACTCTAATTATGTAACCATGATAATTAAAGAAGTAATTAAGAACCAAGTGTGCAATATGTCATACAAACCTTGGTTATTAGCTCTAATACATGGATATATGAGAGAAGAAACTAAGTATATTGTATTTTCTTATACAAATACATAAAAAAAATACATCAGCCTCTAACTTTCCACTCCAGAAATATTCAGCAACTTTTTGATGGATATGTGATCAACAGAGATACAGCCTCATGTACACACAAATGTTATATTGCAGTACCCATATTCAGAAAATTGACATATTTGTGAATTGTATCATATGTAAATGTAAATACTCTAATCTGTATCCATACAATGCAACATAATTTATTACCAAATATTAATGCATAAACTAACAATCCATTTAAAAATGTCAGATAATCAGTAACTAGCTTTCCAGCAGGTGAAAGGCTTTTCAGAAGGGTGACAGAGGCTTCAGTTTGCCCAAAAATATAAAAAAACATGATCCATGTATCAGAAAAGCACACAAGAAATGTAGCATCTGTAAGAACGAGATTTTACCTGCACAGTACTAATATCAATATCTCCGAAAGAAGGATCAAGTGCAGGTAGATTGCTATTTTTTGCATCAAATTTGCCATCCTATGTTAAAGCAAAAAGATCCTTTGTTAGTGGAAAAGCAGATCTATGCAACCTAAAGCAAAAAGGAAAAACATTAAAAATTGATATAGCACCTCAAACTCTGACTCTTGTGTTCTTAGATTTTCCATCATTACATCAAACTGCATACTCTCCTCATCCTTCAGTTGGGATTGATTAAAATTGGACTTCAGTACAGTAGTTTCGGTCTCAATCCTACTATGCAAGTCCTCTTGATTTTCTTCACTGAAATTGAGATGAGAATCTTCATGATGTTGTGGAACTCCATCAGCTGTTAGTGGTGTAACATGATGAGTTCTATTATCTCCTGCTTTTTCTATCACGGGTGAAAAAGCAAGATGATCCTGGTCAATAAGAGAGACATTATCAAGACCTTGTGCTAACTTATGAAAATATGACCATCTTTTAGGTTCATGATTCTCCATATTTATGCTTAAGCCTACTCCTTCTCCGGACGGTGGATGTAGACTGGAGGGGTCTTCTCCAAGTATTGCTTTAGAAAATATATCAGAAAGCAATTCCCGGGGAAATCGATCATCAATATCAATAAGAATGTCACCTTGAGATTGTTTGGAAACAACATTTGAGGGGAAATCTTGATAAAGATCTTTGGTTACATTCCCAGTTACAGTAACAGGTAGTTCTTGTACCATACAACCATCATTAGATTCCTTCCCTGAGGCTTCACCCCAATCAATCTCTGGAAGATTGGATGCTAGATCATCAAGACGCTTAGCAGAGGAAACATGGTGCAAAGAAGGAAGATCCGATTTACCATCTTTGGTTTTGGTTTTGGTTTCAGTTTCATCAACCAAGGGCTTGGTGTAGTTATCCTTACGACAATTCTCAGTTTCCACATCTATAGTTCCTTCATTGCTTGGCAACACTGGCTTCAACTCAGGATCTGTGTGCTCAGATAGTTTTGACTTAATCAGACTGTTTGTATCAGGCAACGGTTTGCTCATTTGATTTTTCGAAAACCCATTGTCAATGGTATGGCTATTTGCAAGCAAGGGCTTTGCAGAAGTACCCAATTCCACAGTTGGTGTTAACATTTTACCATCATGCAAGTTATCACTAGATTCTGTCACTGGATCCTCTGGTGTGACATCAGAAAGTAAATCTGACACATGAATTTGAGAACTGTGTGTGTCATCTGACTTTGAGGAACGATTCAGCAACTCTACTTGCTCCCTTGGAGTTCTTTCTGAATAGTAAATTCTTTCAGGAAGTGGAGGAGGATGCAGAGAACTCAAATCAATTGCATTTGCTTGGGAATCAACATAAGCAGGAACAAATGCACTGCTAGAAGTAGAAGAGGCCTCTTCACAATCCTTGTTCTGAACCTTTTTAGTTGAAGGCAACGTAGGAAGATGCCCCTCAGGCATGGTAACTACAACCGCTGCTTCAGGAAAATTACTTTTCAAGCAACTGTCAAAAGGCTGTAAGGGAGCTGCGGATGCGGTTTCAGAGGATAAAACTTTACCAGGATCACTCCCTTGATTAACTGAACTGTCGTCTATCTTTCTCACCTGCATTGTAGGTAACTGGGAATTTTGTATTTGTAATCCACTAGGTAGATGGTCTTCATTCAGAAACCCTTGCTGATTGTTTAGCAGATGAGGTGCCATAGGAATAGGAGTCCCTCCGACCCCAGGGTTATGAGTGGAACTCAGGCCATGGTGAACAAAATATTGATGACTATAATCCGCAACTTGCATCATTTGGTCACCATAAGACTGCTGATCGATTTCATAAGCATTTGACAAATTTGGTAGAACTGTTTGTGAAGAATGAATAGTCAATGAAGCATCAGATTTGTTAGTCAAGGGAGCATTGCTGATACCTATAGATTCTACAGCAACTCTATTAGTCTCCCTCTCAATAGTTTGCCTTTCCAATTCATGTAAATCATCTGTTGAAAAGCTGACACCAAGTGGGGTTGAGCTGTTTATCGATCCAAAGTCCATGCCATTAACAGCAACAACATATTGGACATCAGAGTCATCACCAATGCTACTGAGAGCAAACTGAGCATCTTCCAAATCACTCATTGAGAACAAAAACAACCTAAGCTTTTGTGAGCGTTCTCTATTTTCTAGAAGATTACATTCTTCCATCATATTCTGCAAATCCTCATCAGAAGATACTGATACCAAAGCATCAAGATCTTCACCAGGAAGTTGATATTTTAGTACATGAACCAGATTATAGATCAACAATGCTTTTTGCATAAGCTCCTGCCAAGATATGTCCTTCCTTAGACGAAGAATACGAGTTTGACCTCCAACATACCTTAGCTTTCCATCACTCGGTCGAGGTAATATTTTGCCACCAAAGCTACAGAGACACTTCATCATAATTGATGAGCTGTCTGAACCAAAAGAAGAGCCATACCCACGTACAAATCGACTATTCTCCTGATTCAATGAACTTCTTGGTATTGATCGAATAGACCCATAATTGCTTCTGTCTCTATGTAATGATGTACTCTGTCTGTTAAACTCTGTTGTACCTTTCTCAACTTTTGAGAGCATAGAAATGTCTGACCTAGTTTCAGAAGCTGCATGACTGATGCCTAAGACACCTTTCAGTTCCACGCTACCAGTTGCATAATTGGAATTGGAATCACCAACATTTGAAAATACGGGCTTCCTGAGATTCACCCTATCTCGCATAAATTCAAGAGCAAATTCCTCACCTGTCTGTATTGAATAATTAAGTACTGGTTTAACATCTGATGTGTTATAGTCAGACGGTCTTCTAATAGCATGCATGCCATCCATATGGTCCTGAATTACTGATTGAGATCCAGACTGGAACTCCTCATTTCTAGGTTCCATGGTATTGTACTGAAGCTGTTTATATAACCTTGACTGTTCCATCATGCCATATTTTTTAGGTCTAAAGTCTTAACAGAATAATACATTATGAAACCAAATCAAAAATAAGTTCTAGACTTTAAGTAATTTTAATACACCATATAAATATGTGATGCATCTGAAATCTGTGAAACTCTCAAGACAAGACCAACTACAGTTTGCCGACAAAACGCAGCTTAATTGTATAGCAATTTCCCTGTGCACAAAACAGAATCAAGGTAGGAAGTTTAAGCAACAAATTAAAATGCAACAATATGATCACTACAGATGGAAAGAAATGAATTACAAATCTACGTTAATGCCAAGTTACATATTGATAGCCTGGATAATTGGCTAAAAACTAACTCTAAAAATTTGTTATGATGTAAGTAAATACTAATTTATAAAGCAGCAAAAGCAAGTTCACATTTTGAGATAGAACAATGAATTTGACAGTAGAACAACACTATTTGGTGGAAAACTCTAGCTTCCTTTCCACGGCTAGAGGGTCATTATGCCTCTCAAGTGTGGCCATAAAACTGGGTATAATATAAAACATCATAACTCTCTCTCTCACTCACACATACACACACACACACATACATGTTTGATAACCTATCTTCATTTAGGAATGACTTGTATGATAATATATCAATGCCCCAACTTGAAAGATTACAAGTGAAAAATTGCTGCGCAAGTTGACTACTCCAGCAACAACAGTTATGGAAACTTGTAACCTCAGCAATCAATTTAGCCCATCTAATGTTTAAGCAATGAATTTCATCACCATAACAAGTTTTGGTGATTTTTACACACCAGACAGAGACATCATCAACAAAACATGATCACCGACATAGCATTCTCTTACTCTAATCTTGTAACACCAAAACTCAACAAAACAAAACCAGGTAACAGAGCATGAAAATGAATCTAGGCACCAGAGAGAAAGGAATAAAAACCTCGTGTTTGTGCTTGCTGAAGTTGAAAAGGGAAAGATGAAAAGTGAAAAAAGAAGGAATTTTGAAGCAGAAAGAGAGGTTTCAGGGGAAAATCGAAAGAACCCATTTCGGGTTTCTCTGGCTTTCGCCCATTACGCTATCTCTTCAGAGGCTTCGACCCCTTTTCCCGAAAAATGACGGCGCTTTCTCTCTCTCTCTCTCTAGAAAGCAGAAAATTCCCTCTCTAAAATTTTCACTGGGCACCGCTTCATTCTAATACTTTGGGTTGAACAAAGTTTCGGATATCTCGTGAAGTCGCAAAATTACCCTTGCAAATTTCTGGTTATTACTAGGAAATTTCATTTAATGTGGCAAGAAATAAAAAAAAAAATGGAATAAACAACTATATTATTCTTAAACAGTAAGATCAAGACATTTTTGTGTTTCTATTCAAGATGAAATAAAAATAAAAATTAAATAATAAATATATATTGATTTAATATTATAATTAATCTATTAATTTTAAAATCTTGATTTTAATAAAAAAATATTTTTTTAATATTTTTAAAATAAAAGAATATAATAATTAATAAAATGTAAAAATTAAAGTGGTTATTAAAAAGTGTATTTCTTTTATATATCAATATAAATTAAATTTATTAGGAAATTTTTTTAAAAAATAAAAAAAAGTGATACTCCATTCACTTTTTCAAATTTTGTAAATAATATTTTGAGTTCAAATTTTGTATACGAAAAATAATATATTTTATTAAAAAAATTAATAAAAATTAGTCATTGAATATTATACGAGAAAAAAAAACATATTAATCTCTTAAATTAATAACTTAGAAAATAAATTTATAAAATATTAAATAAATTCTTAAATTTAATTATATATTATTATTTTAGTCTCTTAATATATATTAATATTAGGTATATATTAGGATAAAATATTATTTGAGTTACTATAAGTATTGTTAACATTTTAATCTCTTGAAATAATGAAATTACACAAAAATATTTAAATTTTTAATTGGTTTATTTAAATTTTTAAAAATGATCACTTATTATTATTTTAATTTTTAAATATATGTTAATATTATAATTTAAGTCATATTTTTTATAAAAAGAAAAGAAAATTAGATTTAAATGAGTAATGTGTTGTATGTTGGAGATTTTTTTATTTTTATACTTTAATGATTAAAGTATTAATGACATACACTATTATAGACTTCAATGAAATTTTATTCTTAATATTATCACTTTAGTTACACCTATTTTAAAGTTTTAGACTATTCTAATTATTAATTTACACTTTTAAAAATTTATTTATACAACCTTTAAATTTTAAGGATTAATATGGTCACCTTCCAAATTTAGGGACAAGTTAAAGCAGGTATTTACTTAAAAGAAAAGTGATGGAATAAAAATATTAAATTTTTACGATTTATTTGAAAGGAAAAATAGAAAGAAGAAATTTACTTTTATAGATGAAAAACATTTCCCCTCCACGCGAAGCGCAAGAAAAAATATTCTCTGTTTTTCTTTAGTCCTCAAAGAGAAATAAATGTTTTTTATGATATATATTTTATAAATAATAAATAATTTTATTTTAATAAAATAATAAAGTAAAAATAATAGTCAATATTAAATATTTTTATTGTAACTTATTTATTTTTAGTTTATCTATACCTGTGATGAAATTAGTTCTTTCTTTTCGTATACACAAGTTTTAAACAGTTTTATCCTTAAATTTTAAATAATAAAAAATAATATTACAAATTAATTATTCTTATAAATTTAAGACTTTAAATTCAAAGACTTAAACAATTATAGACTCACAGAGTATCTCTATCCACTAATTATTTAATAATTTAAATAGGTGAAGACAAAGTCAATCCTAAATATAATCTAAAAGTGCAACTACTTAGAACCATGATTAAGAAGAATTCAAAATTTAAAAAAAAAATTATATAATTATGTGATTTTTAATATTATTTTTTAAAAATTAAAATCATTTTTATAAGCAATAAACTAAAATCATTATCTTTTATATATTTCTTTTTATATCTATATATAAAAAAGTGATTTGGCTGTAAATTTTAAATTTTTTTTTTATGTATTACATTCACATATGAGTTCTACACAGTGATTTAAAAACCGGTATGAATCTTAAGTTGGATCGGTTATGCAGTCGACCCGTTTTAAACCGGATTGAACCGGTCAATTTTCCGGTTCAACCGATGAACCGGTGGGTCAAACCGGTTCAACCACTTTTTTTTCTTTTTTCTTTTTAATTTTTTTAAGGAACCATAAACCACAAAAATAATAATAAAAATTGAATTTCTTAATGAAAAAACAAGGAGTCTTATTAAATATAATAATGACTACTTGTTCTAATATATTTGTTTCCAATATATACAACTTAAATAATTTTTATAGTATATTATTAATTTTAAATTATATATTTAATAATATAATATCTATGTAAATATTACATATATTATTTTGTGATATTAATTGCAAGCATATTATATATGTACATATTATTTATATTTTTAATTTGTATTAATATACCGTTTAACATGTAATTTTTTATGTATTTTTTTACAAAATAAAAATAAAAATAATTTTAAATAAGATAGAAAAATTGAAATTTAAAATAAGATATGAATTTATTAAAATTTATAAGTATAAAATATATTTAATAT